GACAGGTCTGCTGCACACAGACACTTAAGATAAGTTCCCAAAAGACTGAGGCTCTAAAAAATAAAGCTATACTTTTAGAGCAGTTAAATGTGTCTCTATTGTTGTTTAAAAAATATATTAGGCTATTTTATTATGAATCTTTCTTGTTAAAAAGATTTTTTTAACGTTTAAGTACACATCTTATGCTTTGTGGTATTCTGCACTTTAAAGATTCATCTCAGTGTCACTTTCTAAACACCACAATGTATTAAATACATACAAATGCTGGGAACCAATTCTTTTTTACATTTCTTTAATATTTGTTCTATTCAGCTACAGAAGCATCCTCTTTAAACTACTAAGAATTGTACGATAAATGTGACTTTACCAGATTCTTTTTTACACCTTAGTGATTTATTGATATGCAGCACAATGTCCTCCTTTTTGGTGCAATATCCTTCTTATACTCCGTCCACAAAGATGGATCCCACCTCCCTTATCTTCCCTTCTGTCTCCCCAAGGATCACAGCCTTCATTTAAAATGGCTAAAATTTGCTTACACTGCAAAAACAATCTAAAAATAAGTACAAATATCTTACATTAAGTGTGTTCACCCTTAATTTGAGCAGGTAAAGGAGATAGTTTGCCAATGGAATGAGTAATTTTACTCTTAAAATAAGAATATTAGATAATATGCACTTGAAATAAGACAAAGCAATTGTGTTTTCTTATTTCAAGTGTAAATTGTCTTGTTCAATTGGCAAAATGGCTCTTTTACCTCCTCAAATGCAGAACAAATGCAGTTATTTTAAGAAAAAAAAAGACTTATCTACATTTAGATTTTTTGCAGTGTAAAAATGTAAGTTTGTTCATAAACTCCTGAAAAGTCTCGCTCCTTGTTCGTCTACTGATTTCAAATCAAAATTTTATTTGCCATTGGCTTCGAGGACATTAGTCTTTTATAATTAAAACCTCCAAAACTTTGGAATATGTTGCCTTTTAACGTTTCATTTATTCATCCCAATTTAAGTCTCTTTAGAAAAAAGTCATTTTTTAAGAGTTTGCTCTGCTGTGAGCTGACATGCTCCGTTTAATGTTTCTGTTCTCTATGATCTGTATCTATGTCAGTATCTTCTTTATCAATATAGCAATTTGACCGTTTGATTGTTGCTCATAAAATTGGGAAATCAGACGACCAACCAGGATTTCTGTGACCCAAACCTCTCAGACTTTGTAAAATAAATTTCCAATAAAAAGGAAAGTTGGAATGTTAAAAGCTGTTGGTTGTTTTATTTCTCGTTATCTGCCGTCTGCTGGGTCCCTTCTTGTGCCGCTGTTTGGCCTGAGATAACAGGCAGGTGGTTTCACACGGTGCTGCCTGATCTCTGCTGTTTTATGGAGGAAACGCAGCAGTTGAACTTCTCCACACCCTTTTCTTTAATCCGTTATCTCCGAGGAAGCGATGGTTTAGGATGTTTGAGCATGTGATATGACATGGGGTGATGATGTCAGCCTTTGTGAACACAGCGTGCCGGCTGCAATAATCCTCAGGACATGTGAGCTTATCTTTATTCCAACTTCAACCCACACAGAACCAATGTCCACTCCTAGAGACCCGATTCGTGTGTAGCTCTATTCCTAAAATGCTCATTAGGAAATTATTCATCTTTGGCTTTAATAAAAACAATATCTAGTTAATGATTTGAGGCCATTGAAGATGGAAACTTTCTGCACTATTCCAAAAAAGTAAAATAGTAATATATACTGTGGCAGGCTGAAGTATAAGAGGCTTTGCTGTTTATCGCTAGCCTTGTGAGACCATCCTGATCTCGCGAGCTTTCAAGGTTTCACTCGCAGATCAGTCTGGAGACTCTCCGTTAAAGAAAATTTGGAGCCGTTCACCAAACGAACGTCCAATCAGCGTTGGCTTTGAGGCGGGTTGAGGTGTGACGCAACGAGAAACGCGACTGTTCAGTCTAAAGAACATGGCGGCTTCAGCCGATGAAACTAGCGTTAGCGTGGCTATCGAGCAAGTTTTATCGGAATTACAGAGTATTTCTTCACTGAAAGAAGAGCAAAACACTGCTCTGGAGGCTTTTCTCAGAGGAAAAGATGTTTTTGCTATTCTCCCGACTGGTTTCAGCAAGAGTTTGATCTATCAATTGGCTCCTCTTCGTCGTCGCTCTGTTAGTACGTCATATGCTTCGTTGATCTGATTGGTTTATTTGGCCCGTCTATCACCAACATAGGCCAATCAGCTAACCAGTATTTTCGCCCCTTCCCAAAATTACTTCTACGGAAGGTTTCCAGATGGATATGCGGAGCAAATCTATCTGGCGGAGTCAGGTTAGATAATCGTGGTCACTTCCTGATAAGTGAGCAACTGCCTCCTGTAACTCTAAGCAACTTCTCTGATCTGAGTAAGATTATAATTTCTATCAAACCTGTTGTCATGTTCTGGTTATTTAACACATATAAGTTATGAAGTGTTATTTAAAGAGTTTGTCCTGAGTGATCTCTTAAGGAAAACGATAACCAGAGAGTTTTGAGAGGGGGGGTGAAAGAACCCATCTATCAGTGATCGAGATGATCCCTTCCCGCTATCAACCCCATCCCCTTTACACTGCAAAAAATCTATATCTAGATAAGTCATTTTTTTCTTAAAATAAGTGCATTTGTTCTTGAATTGAGGAGGTAAAAGAGGCATTTTGCCAATTTAACAAGACAATTTACACTTGAAATAAGAAAACACAATTGCATTGTCTAATTTCAAGTGCATTTTATCTAATTAGTTTAAGAGTAAAAATACTAATTCCATTGGCAAACTATCTCATTTACCTACTCAAATTAAGAGTGAATACACTTAATTTAGGAAATGTTTACTTATTTCTAGATTGTTATGTATGCAGTGTACAGGGGAACAGAAGACCTCGCCTGTTCATCCAGGACAACAATTCCCTTTAACACCCCCTCCTTTCAGAGACATAGACAGGTTTTGGGTATTACAGCCTAACAAAAAAGCCAAACGACCCTCATTCCAAAGGGGACGGACCCGTCCGTCCGTTTTGATTTGTAAGGCTTTGTTTTTGGTCCACTCTACAAAGCCTTGAACTCAACGCTATTTCTGACATTTTGAATTGAAAAAGCTTCCTGAATGGGAAGAGAAACATCTTAAAAGTGCTTTAACTTTTTTGCTGATGAAGGTTCTCAGTCATCCAGGTCATAGTCATTCCGTAAAAATTCAAAAAATATCCACTGGACTTGGTTTTCAAGATTTGAAGACGTTTCTCTTTCACTTTTTTAGGAATGAGTATGACCTGGATGACTGAGAATCACCATCTTTCTGCACTATGAAGCTAAAATAATTAAACTCTGAGAACACGGCGATCCGTTTTAACTTCAGCTTTTTACACCAGAAACATAAACATCAGATACCAGGAGGAACGTCTCCTGGTTCCAACAGCAGTGAGACGGTGCTGAACGAGGGTCAGATGGATCCAGTGAGAGACGAACCAGAAGCTCAGGTGAAGGCTTACATCTACCTGTTACCATGGCGACCAACAGTACAGCTATAAGTTGCTTTCCTGCATCTTACTAATGTTGGGATGCTGGGATCTCAAAACATGACGCTGGTAAAACTCTGAAAAGTGTGGCGGACATTTGCTTCGGATAATTTCAAAACCTTTGAAACCAGAGCAACCAAATGGGCTCAAAGCTTGGCTGTTTTAGAGTTTCTAAATATTCTGTTCTGAATATGAGTTCATGAAGACATTAATTATTGTATAAACAGAGTCGGCCTGTGTGGGGTTGAGGTTCAGGATAGATGTTCTGTTTGGTTTGTTCGGTTGGAGAACATTAGAGAACCCATGAAGGCCAAGAACCCAGCAGACGGGTCAGGGAGGAAACTTCTGTTTAAATCAGAAAAATGATCCTAAACTGATCAGATCCGACTGTGGAACCGACATCTGGTCCAAAGTGACGCCACATCACAGCAGAGCCTCATCATCGACTCCATCAGAGTTCAGTCTGTTGTTTACTGGGCTGATGAGCCAATCAGCTGCAGCTTATCTCACATCATCATCATCAGGCTGACGAACCAGCAGTCAGGAGAGCTGCAGTTTGATCTCCTTTGCCCTCTGAGGTAGTCATGACTCACTGAGTCATTCGTCAATAACAATAAAGCGCTGACTCATCCTAACCAAAGTACCCTTCAGAACATTTATTGGATCATCTAATTATTTAAAGATTGAAAACTCGTGCTGATGTTTAAGTCAAGATTACAAGTAATTAAAGAATTCATTTATAACATTTATCTCCATAAACAAGGTTTCCAGCCTTTAAATAGGTAGAGCCTTTTTTTAAACCCTCCATCAATGAACTGATGCTCACAAATCTATCCGCTTTCCTTTCATTATATAAAATAGAATATTTCATTTTGAGGAAATTCATATTAAGCAGATCTGCTTTTATAGAGTCTGATCATATAGAATAAAAACAACAGAGTTGAAGAAAACTTGAATTTAAGTCAGTTATTCTGTCTCTGCAAGAAAGTAGGACTAGTTAATGTTTTTCCCGGCTTTCTCACTTTCTGACCTCCTGGCCAATAGGAAATAAAAAATGTTTGGTATAAAACCGGTAGGATTGCCATTAAAGACCAAGAATCTTTGAGACGGCGTGTGAAACTTCTATTTAGAAACGGCAACGTAATCCAGGAAAGCCTGAAAGCCTTTTAAATGTGTGCTCTTCAGGGATTTTCTTTGTGGATTAAACTACAGAAATGGGAACATCTGCTTTCTTTGTGATTGGGAAGACTGAAGGTTTGGGAACTAAAACCAAAATGAGGACAAACTAAAAGAGCTCTTTGGAAAAATCAAGACTGCTTGACAGGGAAAATGGTAATAAATTTAATAATAAATTATTCACAGGACTCCAAAGTTATTACAAAGGTGTCATTTTATTTTGTTTGTTCTATTTATACTGGTAAAGAAAAATGTTTAACTCCAGATGATAAGCTATTAAACATGGAGCAGCAGACGGTCTGTTGTGCCCCCTGCTGGCACAGAGGGGAACTGCAGCTGGTGCAACATGAATGCAACACCAAAGATATTTGTGCAGAGTCACAGTGATGCAGCTGAGTCACTGAGGGGACGGTCCATTAGGGTCGGGATGAGTCATCGTCAGCTGCAGGGTCCATGTCAGCATGGAGGACCAGAAACAGGTGGGGGAGGGGGGTTCCACCGACCTGACAAAGACCCAAACAGGCTGAGAAACAGGCTCCTTACTCGCACCATCCGGACCTTCTGACTGGATCCAGTTTCATATTCCTACTGGATCATTCAGCGTCATGAACCACAAAAATAAACCTGGAAACAACAACAACACACACTGTAAAAAAAATGTCACTGTGAATTCACAGTAAATTAGCAATTTACTGTGAACCATACAACTTACTGTAATTTTACAGCTGTAATATCCGTGTAAAAACAAAGGTGTGCCCATCATGTCCCCCGATTGCAATAAACCATCCAACTGGTTTCATCATGTCTCCTGAAATCAGACACAGTATTATGTGCCATGAGCATTTTGAGATGTGCTACAGATATAAGATCTATACAGGTAATTCTTATGATTATAATACTAATTATCTGTATGTCTTGGCTAGGGCTGAACGATTTTGGAAAATAATCTAATTGCAATTTTTTTTCTTTATATTGCGATTTAATGCAATTTTTCCCCCAGTTTAAATGATCATGTCTTTTTTTAAACATATACAAACAACAAATCAATCTGTTTCATCGCTGTGCAGATTAGGTGCTAAAAGACACGCTGTGTCCTAATTAATGATCGCGTTCTGCCTACGATATATTTCAACCAAAATTGCAATTTAATTTTGACTTTTCTCTACATAACCACAAGCAAAAAAAATGGCCTCTAAATAAAGACAATTGTAAACAAGGACTATTTAAATCAAGAACTTTTAATGTTTTTATTAATCAGAATATTATTCAAGAGAACAGCTTTTAACTGATTTGGACATCAGTCCTTGTTGAACATGAAGTCCAAAGTGTAACCAACAAACCAGTCTATGTATTAAACGGATTAACTGGTACTTAGTGCTGTGTATGAATATATAAACTCTAAAACAAGTAATAAAATTAGATTATCTCACTGCTGCAACTGTCTTCCCTTCCATGTGGAGGCAAATCCACTTTAAATATTTTACTCACACCTAAAGAACGCGTCTGATTCACTAATTGCTACATAGCCAAAAATTGCAGACGTCCGCGATTTGGAAACTGCATATTTTTCAATCGCGATTATATTGAAAATGCGATTAATTGTTCAGCCCTAGTCTTGGCAACACATTGTGACGCAGGAAATCACAACATGCCTTACCTTGGATGATCCAGCAGGGGATGCTGGGAGTCCTGCAGCAGTGGCAGACGGCTGTAACATAGTAACACACAACAGCTGGGATTTAATGTAAAGGATAAATATTGTTCATTGGTCAGAGAATGTAAATCATAGCAGGTAACAAAAGATGTTTAATGGAATCATTCATTTTGCTTTTTAAAGGAAAAGTCCAGTCAGCAAAGAATAATCAATGGATCATAATTTATACGCAAAACTGATACATTCGCGGTGATTTAATGAATTTAACATTCGGTAAAAAAAATAAAAACAAGAATTTTCGTCACGATCACAGGTTTGTCGTTGGATCGCCAACGACGAACCTGTCGTTCTATGAAATGAAAACCTGCTAACTATTTACATGCTTTTTTACCTTTTGGAAATTTATTATTTTAAGGTTTTATTTCCACTTCTCCACGCTTTTAGCCCCAAACGTGGCGGGGCAGAAAACACTGGCGACCCTGGAGTGTCCTGTGTCCTTTCTCTTTGCCTGCCTACACTAGCTGCAGAGATAAACTTTGTTTTTCCATCTGTGCCGTCCCCCCAGTAGCTCAGGCAGCCTCAGCCAATTTCCTCTTCCTGTAATCCATCGATTTGGGCACAAGCAGAGGAAGAGGTGGTGAAGCAGGGGGGCTGGGTGCAAACTTGGGCAGCACAGGCTGGGGGAACATCAGCTGCAGATGCCAGATCCTGTGGGGCATCAACAGGAACAGCCGACGGGCAAAGAAGGGGTCGGGGGACGCAGGAGGCTGATGGTAGACGGGCTGGGGCTGTAGAGGGAACCACCAGAGGCTAAGGTCTGTGGTGAGGCGAGGCCTCCCCATGTTGTCCCTGATGAACAGCATCCGGCTGATCCACTCCTGCTGCTCTGCTCTAAGTGCTGCCCTCCAGGACTGAGGCAGCATCTGCAGAAAGAAGACAGCCATTTAACTTGCAAACGAGGCTCCTACCGGTGCCTGAGTGCTTTAAGTATAAACTCTGTCAGCAAACCTCCACAGCAAGTGGCGAAGGGTCCCGTCTGGCAGGGTCTCCTGGCGCTGGAGGATCCTGCTGCTACAGGGGAGCTTCCTGCTCCTCATTAGTGGCGTCCCCCAGTCCAGCAACAGACAGCCTCTGAGGGAGAGAGGCGGTGGAAGGACCCGCCTGTTCATCTGATGTTAAAGAAAACAAACGTCTTAGTGAAACACAAGTTTCATCTGCAGCTTCCACAGTAAAAGAAGCAGCAGCAGCAGGATGCTGGTAATGATTGATGGCTAATAAGGATAAAGACAGGGAAGGACTGTGATTGGGTAACAAGAACAGAGACCTGATTATGCCAAAAAAAAAGGTTCAAAAAAAGAATCAACTGGACTTTGTTTCCAAGTTTGAAGACGTTTCTCTTCCCATCCAGGAGCTTTTTCAATTGACTGAGCTACAGCTAACTGCCTAAAGCAAATTATTTATCTACTCCAACTCACCGTTTCACCTCAGGTTCTTCTGGTTAATTGTTCATCATTTGCGAATACAATGAGAGAAAAACGTCAGCATCGGTCGTAACTTTTTTATCAACAGAACGTCTAATAAAATGCTCGTTACTCCTTCCTCCATGTCCAATTTATGATGCACTGACTAAAAACATTACATTCAAACATTAATATCATTTCGGAAATAGAATTATGGACGCATTATTTTAGCTCTCAGAGCATCCTAGCAATAAAGCTTAACTTGCAGACATTTGCACTGGTGAACAATGTTGATCTGGAGAAATAATATGCTGTTAAATAATAAGCCGTCGCATTTTGGACATCAGATGTTGCTGCTATTCATCACATAATCCATTAATAGAAAAATGTCCACAGCTGTTTATCATTTACTCTACAGACACAGAAAACATATTGTATAAACACTGAACAGTACAGTATATATTTCCTTAACTCTGTGACTTATTCTGTTATTTTTAGACACTTTTCTAAGGTCCACATTATGTGACCAGTTTTGCTATAACCATTTCACTGCTGTAACACCACAATTTCCCTGTTTTGTGACAATTAAGGAATTTTCTATTCTATTCTCACGACAGGAAGGTTGATCAGCAACAAAGTCAAGGTGTGACAAATTACAGAGCTGAATGTTCATTTAACCAGAGGTGGGTAGAGTACCAAAGCATTTCAATTAAATGATGGTAACACAATTACATATTGTTTTCAAAGTATAAATTAATACTACTTCTAACAGTACTTTTTCCCAAAGGTAAGTAGTTGCTAGCCACCTCTGCATTTCACCCATTTTAAGCAGGTTCTAAGGAATACAGACACCTCATTACGTTTTTGATGCAAAATTGCACTCTAAATAAACATTTCTCACAATGATTTGGGTTTAACATTCCTTTCATAATACATGCTCTACGGTCATGTACGGACAACTTGAGCTAACGAGCTAGCGAATTAGCTAACCGTAAAATGCAGATCTGGTCAAATTAAATATAATCTATCAAAGTTATTGAAACGCTGATGAGTCTGATGAACGATTATGAAAGTTTTTTTCGGACTTACCGAAGTAAAATATCCAGTAAAAAGTCAAATTCGCTGCTGCTTGCAATGGCTACCGTAGCTGCTAACAAGCTAAAAACAAAGGAAGTGACGACAAAGGCCGATCGCAGCCGATAGGCCAGAGACCAGAGGGGCCATCCGATTGGTTCAATTCAAGATAGGGCAACCTGATTGGTTCTCATATTAAGACCGTAGCACGATAACGGGGCACTTTGATTGGTTCTCATATTGAGACCGTAGCACGATAACGGGGCACTCTGATTGGTTCTCATATTGAGACCGTAGCACGATAACGGGGCACTCTGATTGGTTCTCATATTGAGACCGTAGCACGATAACGGGGCACTCTGATTGGTTCTCATATTGAGACCGTAGCACGATAACGGGGCACTCTGATTGGTTCTCATATTGAGACCGTAGCACGACAACGGGGCACTCTGATTGGTTCTCATATTGAGACCATATCGAGACCGACGTTTTTATACATAAAATGCAGTAACCGTACGCCGCCACAGGAGGGCACTAGAGGATTGTAAATAAACCTCGCTGGAGAGAGCACAGCTGATCGGGCTCAGTGTTTCCTGCTGTGGCAGGCTTCGCCTCTCAGCGTAAATACTCTTTAAATGCAAACACAGCTGTTAAACGAGTATATGAATCTTAATATCAACGAGCGAGTCTTCTATTCAGATCTAACTAAATAGCGGGTATGAGGGAGATATTTTCATTTTAAATGCCAGCCACTCGTGTTAGGCCTGGTTTGAGTTCCCATCATGCATCCGTGTCAACAATACGCTGAATATATGAAAACCTACCAGGATCAGAAGTAAATTGGATCAAAGTTAGTGATATATATAATTGTTCAACTAGATAATGAGATCATCAGGATTGACAACACGTTGCCTTTATCAAAAGCTTTCCGCAGTCAAAAAAATAAATAATAAGAGACAAAAACACCGGCTTAGTGAGTGACAGAGTAAGGTTGGGTATAAAACCAACTCAGAGCCACCTTGCAAGTGTCCTAGTTTACTAGGACATATACTAAAATTGGAACGATACAGAGAAGATTAGCATGGCCCCTGCGCAAGGATGACACGCAAATTCGTGAAGCGTTCCTCATTTTTTATTTTTTAAATAATTAAAACAATAATAAATGGTTTGAAGTAGTGTTTCCACTTTTTTCCCAGTTCGCGGGCCGCGTTCTTAACGCAGGGATGCGTCCTTCGTAGGAAGCGGCAGGCTGTTCAGAGCCAGCCAGTTGGTGGCGCTGTTGTTTTAATTTTCAAGCGCAGACCAGACTCAGATAAATAAATAAATAAAAAAAGCGGAGTTAAGGAGTCTTTATGCGGTATATCATGAGCAGACGTGAAAATTGCACATGAATACCCACTTGTCCACCGAAAAACTGAAAAAGTTCTACTTTACCAGAGTTGTCGAGATGCGCTGGGCCTTGACCTTACAACATGGCGGAAAGCAGCGAATCCAGTCCGTCTGCTAGCGTGACATCGCTAAACATCCTTAGCCTTCGCAACGCTGTAGCATATTTATTTTAAAAAGTCTATCAACTTAACTTTTGTCGTTTTGTAAATGACCGTTATTGATTGATTTCACCGGATGCTCGCTAGCTTTCAGTCCATCGGTATCTCCCTCCTCCTCGTGGCTCAGACTCTGAACACCTGCTGGTATAATTGGTTATAGACCCCGACACACCGGCGCTGTATGGCAGGCAATATTGACATTTAATAGAAGCGCTAAGATTCTTCCTGTTCAAAACTACATTCCTACTTGTCAGAACTGTACATATAGAAACCCTTAATCACATTTTTTGAAAGCAAAAGTTTAATTTCAGGATGCAAAAAATATAATTGTACTAGTATGAGTGTAGTAAGAATAAACGTTCAGATACACAGAAATCTTTACAAATTTTAAGTGGCCGTTTTGACATTTATTAGCTTGACTGAATATATATTTCAAACGTCTCAAATACATTTCTTCCTGGTCAAAATGAACATTTCAGACATTTAAAATAACATTCTTCATCTCTAAAATAAACATTTCAGATAGTTATTCTTACCAGTATAAATTACATCATGTTTCCCATTCATGTGTTTTGAGCTTTTACTTCCAGATATCTAAAATAAACATTTTTTTCTAACTAAAATAAACATTCTTCCGATCTAAAAATCAATTCTGATGAGGATCAACTCTAATTTCAACTCTGCATAATAGAGTAATTGCTAGTCATAATGACAATTTCAGATATCAAAAATTAATATATTTTATCCAGAAATCCAATTTTTAACATCTAAAATATATTTCTACCAGTAGAAATAAAATTACAGATATCAACTATTGATATATGACTGATTAAATTGGAATTTCAGATATCTAAATTTTAATAATGCCTATCCAAAATGTAGTTTTAAAAATTTAAAAACATATTTTAACTAAAATAAAAATAATCAGGCTCCGGAGATCTGAAATTCATTTTTAGACAGCCAGAGTTTATTTTAGGTAGAAGTGATGTAATTTTGGTTATCTTAAAGTTACGGCACATGAATGGGGAAAATTGACGTCATGTCTACTGGTAAGAATTACATTTCAGATATCTGAAATGTTAATTTTAGGTAGGAGGAATACTATTAAAGATATCTGAAATATGTATCCGGTCAAGCAAATATATGTAAAACAGCCACAAAAAATTAGTAAAGATTTGCAGATATTCAAAATTTCGTTCTTACTAGTACAAATTTGATTCCCGAGTATTTAAAATTTATTTTCTACTGGTAGAAATTTAATTATTGATATCTATAATACAGTTATGACTAGGAGTATTGTAATTATGACTAGATAGAATGCTTTAGTGTTATCTATAATAGAAATGGGACTAGTCAGCCTGTTTATTTTATGTTTAAAATGAGTCTCATTATTATTTTTCAAGTATCTAAAACTGCATTTTGATAGGAATTATTAAAATTGAGATATTTTAATTTTAACTAGTCATAAAATTAGTAGTTGATATGTGTAATGACATTTCTACTAGCAGAAATATAATTTTGATGTTAAGAATTTGATTTCTGGATAACTTAGACAGACTTTATTGTCATTTTGTACACACAGAGTGCATAAAAATAAATTTTCGTTTAGTACGGCTCTCAAGACATTTTTAATTTAAAAGTGGAGCAGTCACAGAAAGTAAGCAGCAGTGATCAAATTTAATCATACAACTGTATATGATTTACAGTTTCCAACATTAAGGGTTTTTTGTAATATCTGTAACGTTATATTCATTTTTGATATGTGAAATTGTCATTATGACTAGCAGCAACTTTATTATTAAGAGCTGAAATTAATCCTAGTCAAAATTCATTTTTAGATCGGAAGAATGTTATTTTAGATATGTTCATAAAAATATGTTCATTTTGTCTCGGAAGAAATGCATTTGAGACATCTGGATTACATATTCAGTCAAGCTAATAAATGTCAAAACGGCCTGCCATATCGCCGCTCTGGTCGTTTATCTGCTCTGTAGCTTTAAGCTAGACATCAGCTTTGCTTTATTTACTTTATGAGCTGAAAAAATAGTTTTGATTTTAAGGCGAAAAAGACAAAGTCCACCTCCAAACATCTGTGCAGTTCCATTGATAAGCATGTAGAGCCAGACAACCTGCGGTAATTAAAAAATGTTTTAAATCAGGTAAGCCCACTGCTCTCATATATATATATATATTATCCAAGTCATCTTGAAAACATTCTTCTTCCAAATGTTGGCTACATATTACGGGTTTTTTCTCTGGCCAGAAGTTCGATGGCAAATCCTCCCTCTTCAAGTTGGCGATCCAACGACCAACCCGTCCGTGGAGGATCAGGAATCAGAAAGGTGGAATAACTCTTTATTTCCACTTTTACCCGATGTATTCCAGCATCCAGCTGCCATGCACGTGGGCATTGTCAGTTTCACTATAGCTCTGGTGAATTTCAATGGTGAAGTCCTCTGGAAATCTTCAATAATTGTTGTTGATTGCAGATGTGTCTAGTAGTTCCCATTGATTTAGCTTGTAAAGCGGGGAGAATGGCGCTAGGCTTACCGCACCGTGACGTCACTGCTGGAAGATGGCAGGAGGGAGGGGTTACTATATTTGGGCAAAAATGGCCGCTCCCAGACTCAGTGATTGTGACGAAAATTGTTTTTATTCTTTTACTGATTAACGCTAAATTAATTAAATCACTGCAAACATATTAGTTTTATGTATAAATGATCTATTGATTATATTGATTATTCCTTGCTAACCAGACTTCTCCTTTAAAACAGTAAATAAACTAAGAGTTTATATGTTGACAGATGTGTTTTTAAACTCAGTTTAGTGAGTCAGTTGGTTAGAAACAACTCCTCTATCGGTCGAATGACTTCAAATGGCTGGCATCGCTGTTGATGGATCCATCACTACTGGAAATATTTTTACCGCAGCTTAACCCAAACGAAACCTCAAGAGATTCTGACTGTAGAAGTCTGTGATTTAAACTCCGACTTTAGTTGGATCAGAAGAAACCAGGGGGGGAAAAAAAGAGATTTTAATAGATAAATAAAAAAGCAGAGCCAAGTTTCATCATTCTCATTATTATTATTGTTCTTGATCCCACAGTGGGCGTAAAGAGAGGAACCCTATGGGTCCACATCAAGCTGGTTCAGGTCCAATAACAGTCAGACATCCAATCAGGTTTCAGATGCTCAGACTTTACAAAGTTCTCCAGGTTGCTTCATCAAATCAATAAATCTACAAAACAAAATCATACAAAGATGTCTTCCAGGAACAGGTGCTCTCATATTTACACAAACAACCAATCAGGTGATGAGAAAAGCTCTGAGATGTACCAAAACAAAATGCAGATAAAAAAAAAAGGTTATCTTTGAAGGAAGAAGCTGCTGATCAGAGACCGGACTACATCTCCCAGCATGCAGCTGCTGCAGCCAGAGAAGATCCTGCTCTCCAAACGTTACCATTCATGTTTTTACATCATACAATCAAGACCTGCTGAAAATAAAAACAAAAGAAATTAAATCTTATTGGGATCTGCTGGCAGGAAGCAACTAAAGCTAAAGAAGCAACAAATCAATCGGCTGCATTTATGGATGACCTCCTTAAACTCTTGAACCTCAACTGAAGACATTCTGGAAGCTGCAGGCAGAAGATAATGTTCCTGCTCTCAGACTTTAACAAAATTAAAACGTGCAAAACCGTAATCTTAGTTAATTTCTCAAACTGGACCAGGATCTGAAATAGAACCAGCTATTTAACCCGACCAAAGCCTGCAGAGAAATCCTTTTATTTAAAGAACATCTGCTCTAAATGTGGAGAAAACGTTAAAATAAATAAGCGAAAGAAAAATGTTTAAGGAGGACTTTATGAGTTGCGTCTAATGTTTGGACTCCTGAGATTTAAATGCTCCTATCGGATCGTTTCTAACTGGAATAAGTACATTTAAAAAATAGAAAAATATTTCACTTCCTCTCCTTCCAGCACAGAACACTGAGCAGAACATGAAGTCGCTGCTATTAAACCAGTTTGATGCTCCTAAAGATGATTAAACCAGCATCAAACCACTTTTTTTGAGCAGAGAAATTAGGATTAAAAGATGTAGAAATTAAAAGGAAACCTTTAGATTTTAGGCCATAAAGATAAAAAAAATTATAATAATAAAAATCAGAAACACGTCTTTGGTGAAAAAGAACCTGGTTTTGGTTTTTCCATCTTTTACTTAATAAAACATTCTAATCTTTAAAGAGTAAAAAGGAAAATATTTCTCTGTGTATGTCCAGTGGGTTTGATCTTTGCTGTCAGCTTGAACCAGCAACCATCACAGCTGCTTCTCCTCCATTTTTCTGACTTTATCTAAAAAAGATGGACGGCCTGCAGAGCTGATTATCAGACCCCACCCGTCCTGGAGGACTACAGGCAATAGGAATCAAACGTACCCCTCACCAACCAGTGAGGAATGAGTCTAGAAAGAAGACGGAAACTTTTCCATTAAAGCTCAAATCACAGCAAAACGCCAGAAAACAGAAGCAGATCAAACTACAGGAAGCAGAGCTCCGGTTCCCCTCAGGAACCTCCGTACCGAACCGCCAACGCCCGCTTCCAGCTGCTGGAGCCTGTAAACGTTTCTCCGCCTTCAGCTCGGCTCAGTTGTGATTGAGTGGGGGGGGCAGCAGGGGGGCGGAGCGGTCGTTGGTGACGGTTCTCCTCAGCTGGACCTTCCTGATCAGCGTCAGCATGTCTGCTCCTCCTCGCTCCTCCTGGTTCCGGTCCTGACAGGAGGAATCATTCTGGGTCTGATGGTTGACGCCGGGCTCCAGGTCGGCGGGGTGATCCTGGGTCACCATGGCGACCGGGAGCTGCGGCTGCAGCTGCTCTGCAGCCGGAGGTCTGAGCTGGTCCTGCTGAGGCTGCAGCTGAGATTGCTGAGTATTCTGCTGCAGCTGGGGTTGCTGTAGCTGTTGCTGGAACTGCTGGGGCGGTTGCTGGAACTGCTGGGGCGGTTGCTGGAACTGCTGCGGCGGTTGCTGGAACTGCTGCGGAGGTTGGGAGAACTGCTGCGGAGGTTGCTGGTACTGCGGGGGAGGTTGCTGGAACTGTGGCTGCGGTTGCTGGAACTGCTGCGGCGGTTGCTGGAACTGCTGCGGCGGTTGCTGGAACTGCTGCGGCGGTTGATTAAACTGCTGCGGCGGTTGATTAAACTGCTGCGGCGGTTGATTAAACTGCTGCGGCAGTTGCTGCAGGTGCCCTCGCTGCTGGTTGATCTGCATGTTGATTTGCTGCTGTTGCTGCAGCTGTTGCAGGTGCTGTCTCTGTTGCTGCTGTTTGACGTTGCCGCCCTCTGGTGGCAGAGACGGGACGGTGGGGCCAGGCACCGGGATGGGCATCTGTCCTGGGATGAACTGGTAGTAGGGGGAGGAGGAGGAAGACAAGGAGCTCAGACTCTGTGTGGAGGTGCAGAGCTTGCTGTGACCCAAACCTCCGACTCCTCCAGGAGCAGGAACCTTGAAAACGTTCTCTTCACTGCCGCCGTTTCCAGCGACAGCTTTGAGGGGAACCTGCGGGGTGCTGATGGGGATGGGAATGCCTCCGCTGATGGTGCCTCTGCGGTACGTCGGTTTGGATGAGGGTTTGCGTCTGATGGTGGCCGTGTGGGAAGGGAGCTGCCGACCGGAGCCGCTGCTCAGCTCGGCCTCGGCCAGCAGGCTGACGGTGGACGTGGGCCGCTTGGACTGAGCAAACTCCCTGTACTGGTATCTGAGGTCAGAGTTCCTCGGGATGGTGGAGGACTTGTCGAAGTCAGACTGGCTGTTGCCGTGAGACAGCTGAGGGAAGGAGATGGAGTCTGCGTCTCCGTGGAGGGAGATGGACTCGTAGTCGGCTGGAAACAAGAACATGGAGACGTTAGTTTGTTCGGTTTAAAGATGACGACCGATAAAAACCGTCAAAACTGAATGATATGGAACAAACACGGCGACGTTCACCAGAACATCACGTCATAGAAGCAACATGAAGCTCAAACACAGGAGGAGGATTCCTGCTAACGATGTTCAGATAATGAAACGGATACCATAGCCTGAATATTAATTCTCTATCCGCCTACTTTCTTTTTTGAGATGTAAGAAAAGGTTTGATCAACGGATTTTGGTTAATAGCGAAAAAAAAAAAAAAAACTAGTTAAATAGAGGGCTTCTATTAGCCAGCTTATATTGGAGACTTTAGATGCAGGTTGATATCGGACTGATTTCCAGTATTTATATCAGATCTGGAAATCTCTGATTCACGGAAAATTCAGTTTGTTGGTCAAGTTATTTCTAAGAAAAGTCGACTCGTCAAATATCAGCAAATTAAATAAACTATTATCAAATATTTTAGTAAAGGGGTCGGCAACCCAAACTGCTCAAAGAGCCATATTGGACCAAAAAAAAACAAAATACAAATCTATCTCGAGCCGCAAAAATGTAAAAGAGGCACAGGTTGCCGACCCGTGTTTTAAGAATTTGGCCCAAGATGGCTTCCTTATCTGCAGGGAAAGGTTCAAATAAACATGGAAGCATGAAATGAGTTGGTGTGAATGAGATGAGGACAGAGAGGCAGGCGGGAGGAGACGTACCGTAGGAAGGAGGGTCTCTCCTTAAAGCTGGGGGGAGGGAGAGAGAGAGCAGGGTGGGGGGTGGGAGCCAAGACAGCAGAATCCAGTCAGAAGCAGCAGAAGAGACAGATTGTGTTTCTGAGCTAAAGGCGGCTCTGTGTGTTCAGAGGAAATAGCTGAACTGGTTTCAGACTCTGACTCTGGGTCTGAGGTGTAGAACTGGGCCCTCGGGGGCCCTCAGGGGCCGATCTGTCTGCAGAACCTTCACTCAGAACATCAGACCAGCTTCTCCTAGAAGCTCAAACATCTCATGGAAGGTTTGACTGAAAACATCTGATTTACATTAAAACAACTTATTAATAGTTTCCAGTCGACTCCTGAACATCTCTTTAGCTGCTAAAAGCTTTGATGCAGCATCAGATTTCAGCAGATCGGCTGCTGAGCTCTGTCTGCAGAACCTAACACATTTAAAACCGTTTTAAAATAATCAATTCTTGAATTTTGCGCCACTAACCGGAGCCGAGGTCGGTCATCTGCAGTTTGACCAGTCAGTCCTGACCAGCTGTTTATCTATTAATGCATACAGGTGTACATTGTTCACCTTTTAATAAAAATCTTAGAAATTTGATGCCCTGTTTAGGGGGTCTATGGCTTTGTCACACCCTAATTTCCCCCCGTAATACGGCGGAATATCTAACATCCCTACGGACGAGACGGAAGCAATCCGAGCCGTGACCTCTGTGTACGGATGGCAGAGCTGCGTACTCACTGTGTGTGTGGATGGTGTCCTCTGAGCAGGACGGGGTGGTGGTCTGCGTGCTGTAGCCGCTCGAACAGTGCAGAGAATCCCTGCTGCTCCTCGGGGCGTCCGAGTTTAACGCACCCAACGTCAGCGCCAGCTGATCCCGGGCCGAGCAGGACTGCAGGGGACAAGAGAAGAGGACAGGTTAGTCAACAGGCGCCGAGTTTCATCTAAAGCCCAGCGTACACTGTACCATTATTTGCCCTTTTCAGGCCGATTCTCCAGTTGGGGATCAGCCTCTAACGACCACCTCTAGATCAGGAATCATAAGGTCGGGAGAAAATCTAACATGTTTGATTTTCAGTCGGCCGTCCTAAGGTGATTGTGGGCGAATCGCTCAGTGAGCAAACAAGGATTCTTCTTCTTCCTCTCAGAGGAAAACCCAGCAGCATGGCGGGGTCGGCAATGAGTGAAATGGAGTTCTTTAAAATTGTCAGACCGTAGTAGCCCCGTTTGATCAGCCATGTTTTTGTCCAAATACGTCGTCACCTTTTCTTTTTAGGGCTTTCAGCACAGAATTGCACATATAGCCAATGCAGCGTGTTTCACTCTATTGAGCTTCATAATTAACAGGAGGCATCGACACTTCCGTCTTTTTCTTCTTCTACTGGTTTGGCTTCCGGATAGACAAGTCCGAGTAGCGCCATCTCACTGCAGAGCTGAGTCCCAGAGACGTACAGCGTGAGCAGGTAGATGGCATCAGAGCGTCGGGTCATACAGTGTGAGAACAAACATGGTGAGCTGTGAACTTCTAAATCCTGCCGTTTCGTCATACAGTATGATCTGTACTTTACGCTTTCTGATGGGGAGGTGGTCGTTGGAGGCTGATTGCTCCCCCCCCCCCAAACATTCTATCAATGTTTTTTGCTCCTGTTTCTATCTGACATTTATCTTTTTGCAGTTGGAAAGTGCTTCAGAGTGAAAAATAACGAGCGATTGATTTATCGATTGAGGGGAAGATGGAGGGCGAAGACACACACAAAAAAAAGATGGGGAAATCAAGGCTGAGATGGATATAAAGACAGAACCAGTGAAGTGTAAAGATGAGACTCTTTTTTCTGGATGTCTGCTGCCCTCTGATGGAGGATGTGTTTTTTCCCCCCCACAGCCTACAGGTTGGTTGAATGCTGACCTACAGTATCTGAAGCGAAGCTGTTCTGCTTTAGCCTTGGTATCAGTCTATGTTTCTCAATTTTTCTCTTTCCATACAGCCCTCAAGGCTCCGTTCTTGGCCTTCTCCTTTTCTCTTTATTTAATTCTCTTTCTGACTGATTGTTCGGATCAGTAAAATCTGGCTCCTGAACTTCAAAGCAGTTTTTGTTCTTCTGCAGCATATTTTCTGTAATTTCACTTTCTTTTCTGATGATTCCTGTTTAGATATTAATGTTTGATGGAAAGTTTCCTGGCCGTGCTATAAGTATTTCCACAAACTGTAGTTAAAAGCCTTCAGCTGATCCAAAATGCTGCAGCCAGAGTTCTGATGAAAATGAAAAAGAGAGATCATATCTCTCCTATCCTGGCTTCTCTTCATTGGCTTCCTGTTAAATCCAGAATAGAATTTAAAATCCTCCTTCTCACATATAAAGCCTTAAATGGCCAAGCTCCATCTGATATCAGAGATCTGATTGTTCCTTATGTTCCTAACAGAGCACTTCGCTCTCAATCTGCAGGTTTACTAGTGGTTCCTAGAATTTCTAAAAGTAGAATGGGAGGCAGATCTTTTAGTTATCAGGCTCCTCTCCTGTGGAACCAACTACCAGTTTTAGTCCGTGAGGCAGACACCCTGTCTACTTTTAAGGCTAGGCTTAAAACTTTCATTTTTGATAAAGCTTATAGTTAGGGTGGCTCATGTTATCCTGAGCTATCTCTATAGTTATGCTGCTATAGGCTTAGACTGCTGGAGGACATAGGGATCCCTTTTTCATCATTCTGCTTCATTCCATGTAGTCCTGTTTCTCTGACTGTAACTAACTGGATGTGCTCTCTTCATCCTCTGACATGGGAGCTGGCTCGGAGCTCGTCTGCCTGGCTGTGTGTTTCCTGGACGGGGCCGCCTGTGGAGCTGGTTGACAGTTGCCTTTTGTATCTATGCTTCTTTTTCTATCTCTGCTTCTGTCTCCTTGAACCCCAGTGGGCCTCAGCAGATGGCCGCTCACACTGAGCCTGGTTCTGCTGGAGGTTTCTTCCTGTTCAAAGGGAGTTTTTCCTCTCCACTGTCGCTACAAGCATGCTTAGTGTGAGGGATTGCCTTCAAGTCGATGAATCGATGGAATCAGCTGGTTTTCCTTAGATAGAAAACTTTGAATCAATCTGCATACAGTCAGATTGATCTGTTGAACTGTAAAGTCCTTTGAGATGACGTGTGTTGTGAATTGGCGCTATAGAAATAAACAAAATAAATTAGTGATTTATTGTGTCTGTGTTCATTTCGCAGTCGGGTTTCTTCGCTCATGTCATGCGTAGGGCTGGGTACCGAACTTCGGTTCTTTTATGGTACCGACCGAAATGCTTCGGTTCTACAGAGTATCGAAAGATGCCTCGTCTTTCGGTACCAAGTTTCGGTGATTGGCTTTAACACTTAACGTGATTGCGTCATCCAGGAAAAGTACACAGGTGGTCCCGCCTACAGCCAGGGTTCATGTGTATCTGTTGTGAACTGGTTGCGAGCGTCGTGGAACCCCTTTAAAATGCCCCCCAGGTCAAAAGTGCGGCTTCACTTTATTAAGACTGATGCCAATAGCGCGCAGTGCAATACATCGTGCACGGAAACAATTTAAGAGCAGAAAGTTGCTCGGTGTTTGACTGCAAGGAGAGCGGACCGCAGCCGGCGCGACCATCCTCCTCTCTGCAGCCCGTGGGCGGAGCAAAGCCAGAGCGGAGTGAATCATGCTGCTTTCAAACTGGACGCAGCAAGAGCAGCAAAAACGCGTCCGCTGCTTCATTTTTGCTGCTTGTACCAGCTTCTGACGCGCGGCTGAAGCAGCTTTGCTGCTCTGGCTGCGCGGTCGAAAAGTGGCTCTGACGCGCGTTGGGCGGAGCTACTCTATCCTTTCTTTGCCTTGCAGCTATATTTGCTGTGATCAGTGGGAATAAAGTAGTTTTATTATGTTTTTAAGCGGGAAAATCCACCTGAAAATTTAATCAGTGCAGTCAGTTCATCCTGCCTTCCAATATTTCTGTGGGAGCCGCTCAGACCCCCACATACCAGTGGTGCTGTCAGTAGGATCCCATTCAACGGGCTTGTTTGTCAGACATGGTCATTTTTCTGAAGGAAAACTGCTAAGTAAAAAGGTCCTCACAATGTAACAGTGAATATTAGACACTGAATTTTTTTATGTAAGAGGAAAAATGTAAATGGAAAAATCAGAGCTTAAAATAAAACATAAGATTTGTACTTTTTTATGTTGTGTAATTTTCTTTTTCTTCGAATTTATATTATAAAACTGGTATGGAAAAAAGTATCGTTCAGGAACCGGTATCGAAGTGAAGGTATTGGTATTGGTACCGGCACCGAACATTTTTGAACAATACCCAGCCCTAGTCATGCGGAGGTGTGGGCGTCGCCCTACCTTCCCGGACGCAGACATGGCTCGAGCTCTTTCTCCGTGGTGGACGTAGCTGTTGTGTGGGGGGGCCAACAGGCCGTTCTCTGCCCCCCCGCTCCCTCCAGGCGCCAGCTGATTGGTGGAGCCAACAGCATCCTGTCGTGTGATAAACAAGCGGGTCAGAGTGAGAAGGAGGCGGTTCTGTCAGGAAATGGCAGCAGGTTTGGAGCCATCAGAGGAGTCCTTCACTCAGAACATCAGACCAGCTTCTCCTAGAAGCTCAAACATCTCATGGAAGGTTTGACTGAAAACATCTGATTTACATTAAAACAACTTATTAATAGTTTCCAGTCGACTCCTGAACATCTCTTTAGCTGCTAAAAGCTTTGATGCAGCATCAGATTTCAGCAGATCGGCTGCCGAACTGCTACTTTGTGATATTTATTTCAGAGCAGAGATATCTGGACGACGATATTTTTGCGACATACAGAGTGGATCTAAGGACTTCTGTAATGGCTCCTCTGGAACGCGACATTCAGAAACAACCAGTGGATGGATGAATGGGTCGGGTTGAAATGTTTCACACACTTTATAGAGTTCTGCTTCCAATCAGGATGTGCTTTGAGAACAGAAAGCAGCGGGCAGAACCCGGCTGGTTGAGTCGTGTAAAACACGTCATCTTTACCGTCGACAGGCTGCCGCCATGTCCCGAATTCCTCGTTTTTTTCCCCGTTCTCTAGCTTTTTCTCCACCTCAAGCTTATTTTCCAAACATACGACTTTACGATCAACTGGAAGCAGTTCTGTGCAAATATATTGCGATATAATTTATCTGACAAAATAGTTTTCATAAATGTATTTTTTTTTTTTTTTTTAATAAAGCATTTTAAATGCTACGATAATCACATTTAATGAATTTTAATGTCAATAAGGCCTTAATTTAAAATATAATTTAATGATTTTTAATGACCCGCAGAAATCCTGGTTATTATTATTATAATTTTTTTTTTTGCATAAAATAAAACCGTACAGAAAACAATCCATGCTTCAGTTATATGAATCGTTATTTGTTTTTCCTTATTTTTAAAAGAATCCAAATAAGTTCTTGGTTATTTAAAATGGCAACAGATTTCTTATGGAAGATATTTAACAAAAATTACCAAAATAAAAGTACACACAGACTGTATACAAAATGAAATTTCGTTTTGTAAAACTTTCATGACATTTCCATTCCTTAAAGTGCAGCAGTGATCAATTATTCCACTTATTTCAATAAAAACGGACTCTTTTTGTGGAACAGGAAAACCAAATTTTGATTGATGCTATTTTCTCTTGATAAAATCATAAATTGGAAACTTCTTTGGATCCTTTTATTTTAAATGAAAACATGTAAGATGATCTGAAAGGTGATTAAAACGGGGCTGGTTCCTAAACACTGAAAAACACCGGCCACTAGAAACACACAAACACGACTGGATTCATGGAGCGAGATGAGAAATCTGAAGGAGTGAGGAGGAGGATGATGATGAAGGGCTGAAGATGCAGGCGGGGGGGGGGGGGATAAATAACTGTAAGTCATTCTCACAGCGGTCCGATCCCTGCGGCTAACCCGGCGACTCTGAGCGGCGTGGCGGCCGTAGTCGGCGGCAGAACCATGGCGACCACGGCTGCCGTTACGGGCCAGGCGCGAAGGGGAGTTCCCTTCGCTGAGGGACCGCCCACTTTCATCAGAGCCATAGAGTAGGAAGGTAGAGGAGGGCTACACAGGAGAAAATCAGAGCTGTGTGTGGATTTGGCTTTTTGGTCAACATCAGAGGCTTTTACTTTGAAATCTGAGCAGCAATGAGCTTCACCTCAGCGCTACGATAAACAGCTCGAACAGAGGAAGCATTCAGTAATTGTTTTGTCTTAGTTTAGTTTACATGTAAGAAAAACCTGATGATCGTCCCTGAGATTCAAACCCAGATGATTTTACTGCCTGAAAAAGTTTTTAGAAAAGTTTCCTCTGCTGGAACCAGAGGTGGGATCAACCACACAGGTTCAAAGTTTAAGTAATCAAAAAACAAATAACATTTTCTAATTTCAGTACATTCCTGTATAATTTTCTGAGTAATTTTTTAAAGAAAAAAATGTATTTAATGTATGTATTAGAAATGTATTTTTTAAATATAAAGGTGAGTTAAAGGTAAAGCTTTTGACACTGAGCCGTCCTGCAGGAGGACCAGCAGCCTTTGACCACCAGGATCAGAACCAACGTCTGAGACAAGGAGACGTCCGTTACCTGGAGGTGAACTCCATCCACAGCACAGCTGATCGAGTCCAAGGAGGGAACGTGCCTCACTGAGCCGGACTGATAACTGCAAACAAACACAAAGAGCGTTTCTATGACAACAGCATGAGGAAGAACAGCAGCTGCAGATCTTCTGAGAGCAGATAAAGCTGTGCTTCACTTTACGGGTTGGTTTCAAACTGATCCAGGAACGGAGCCGCTGAAGCTACAGCAGGGGTGCCCAAAGTGTGGCCTGGGGGCCTTTAACGGCCCGCAGGCCGACAACTGGAACTCCAGAATAAAGGAGATGGACATGTTTTATTATCACTTGGAGTTTCTTTTATTAACTTATTAAACTTGGCTGAAAACTGCAGGTCTTTTCAAAGCAGAGTGAGTCAAATCCTGGTTTTATTTCAGAGAAAATAAAATTTATTTTATTTAAACTGAGCCTAAAGAAACTGCTCTTTGGGTTTCGATCAACAATGATTTACTAGTTCAGCCTTTTGGACGACTTTATCTGCAGCTGGGTTTAATGCATAGTAGGTAAAAAACAAACTAAACCATATAAACCAAAATATATTTAGAAAATTTTCCAGCTGTTTTTTATGTTATTCATCTTTCCCATCAGTCCTCCTGACCAGTGACAGACCAACGCCGATATTTTAAATGCTGATTATTTTGACACCAGTGCAGCTGATCCCTGACATGCGTAGCCAATCTTTTTATTTCAACTCTTTAGGATAATATTCCTTTTTCTTTATTTGCATGATGAAAAGGACAAGATGAGAACAAATGTTACAAAGTTCTTGTTTAAAACAAAAAATAACTAATCAAGCCAACAACACACAGAGATATCGGCCTGTTGAGTTATCAGTCCAACTCTAATCCTGACTTTAGAAAACTTCGGGCACCACTGAGTCTAAAAAGGCTTTTAAAATCTTGAAATGACACCAGGTTACTGGATTGTATTAAAGGTTTAGTTCAGGATTTACACAAATTTCTGAAAAGACCCGCCCTCTCCAATTTAAAAAGAAAATGCACATGCACAACCTGGTACCCACTCTATTAAATATGTGCGAGGGCGTGCACAATTCTACTACGCACCATGTTTAAAAGTTTCTCCTTGCATCGCTCATGCAAGCTTAAGCCAGGCCTACACTATGATTTTTTGCCCTTTTCAGGCCAATTTTTCAGTCATGCGAGAATTTTCAAGCGGGCCGAGTTTCATCCTGATCATGCGTCTTGCGTTGTGTAGTATACAGTGTAGGCAGGTAGATCGCATTTTTTTGCCCTTTTCAGGCCAATTTTTCAGTCGTGCGAGAATTTTTCAAGCAGTCACGTTGGTTCTAGGCGTCACATAAAGGCTCTGTCTGACAGAAATGCTGGAGCAGAGTGGATCTATCAGCATGGCTTGGAGATTTATAAGGAGGTTAATTACCGTAATTTTTGGACTATTAGCCGCGCCAGACTATAAGCCGCAGGCTTTTTATGTTTAATGTCCGTCTTTCTCACTGTCGTTCTGTCTAGTACCGGAGGACCTCTGCATTCCCCCGCGTGCGTGGCTACCGTACTTGTGTGTTGAAGCAAATGTGACGTGAACATGGTGGATGGTAAAATCCATAGATTTAGGTATTACCCTAGTGGCCGTTAGTTGTAAAAGTCCATAGATAAGCCACAATGTTATATAAGCCGCAAGCTCAAAAAATGGGGGGAAAGTTGCGGCTTATAGTCCGAAAATTACGGTAGTTTTTTGGGACAATATCGGACTTATTTCCAGCCCAATATTGGATCAGGACTACCAGAAACTCTGAGGCTTCCCCTACATCCTGGCTCCATCACAAAAGCTTCAGTTACCTGCTGATGCTGCTCTTCCTGGACATGTTACCAGGGGACGCTGGGGGGGTCTGATAGGTGTAGTTAAAATCAGAACCCTTCAGATCCAAAATCACCTAAAAGATAAAAACACAGAAACAGAAAATTCAGCATTTTTCTTTGTACATCTCCTGAGTTCTGCAGCTCAGCTGAGTGAATAAGGAAACCAGCAGGACAGGGTTAATAATCATCAGCAATCACTGCATGATGAAAAATTAAGACTTTATTTTGGATGTGAGGCGCAGAAACAGTTTAAAATAAATCATTTTTAAGTTTCTTCAGCAGGCAATGTGTTTTTCTTTCTTCAAGATAACCAATACGTTTTTTTAATACCTATGTTAATGTCAATTTTGCCTCCAAGGCAGGTTTACATGTTTCTTATGCTACGTTCAGAACACACGCAGCAGAAGCAGCAAAAATTCTCCTGCTGCTTCATTTTTGATGCTTGTACAAGTTTAGTTCCGACGCAAAACTGAAGCATCTTTGCTGCTCTAGCTGCGCAGTGGAAAAAGTGGGTCTGATGCGCGCTGGGCGGAGCTACCCTATCCTTTTTTTGCCTGGAACAATGGCAGCTATATTAACTGTGTTCAGTGGGTAAAAAGTATTTTTAATATGTTTTTCTGTGAGAAAGTCCACCGTCAGTTAATCCAGATTACCATCCTGCCTTCAAATAATGGCCGTTTCTCAATATGTGTACTTGTGCGTTCTCATGTGCTTGTGAAATGTCATCAGCCTCAGCCCTAGTACGGATCTAACTGACAAGAACAAGAAGACAGAGAGAGGACAAAGTTCCCGGATGTTGTTCCCGCCCCTCCCTCTCTTTACCCAGCATGCATCAAAGCACACTTGTCCGTTCTTGAGACTGACAGCTCTCCCAGCATGCACTGCGGCAGCAGCAGCTTCCAGGTTAGCGCTCACAGAGCTCAGAGTATTAAGTTAAAGGTTCAGTTTTCTGTTGCCGTTGTTCTATAAAAGTAAGTTTTAAGATCATTTGGGGTGAGAGCATAGCGTAACTATATGGTCCCTTTACTGATTTAGTGCGCAATTTAAAAAACACTTTCCGAAGTTAAATAAATAAATAAGAACGTGGCAACCAGTGGAGCTCCAAGGCTAACAGCAGCCAGGGCTAACCGCAGCCCGTCTGCAGCAGCATAGCCATGTGTGAAGGACCGCTGGCTTTGATGGCGATAGTTTTGTTTTATTTGGCAAAATGTTCATTTGATTTTGTTTATCTTACTAAGTTCATTATTATTTCCCCACAGTAAGAATTTATTATGATCATGAGACTATTAATAACAGGAGGTGAAATGCAGCTCCGGACGAGCCGAGCCTGTGGTGATGTCATCAGTACGCTTTTGTTCTAATTGACCAATTTTATCCTGCGTGCTCTCGTTCTTCTCAAGAACAGACTTGGCGAGGACATGAGTCCGAGAGCTATTATTTCTCTGTGGGAGCCGCTCAGACCCCCAAATACCGATTGTGCTCTGTCACTGGGAATCCCCAGCAGCAGCTGCCTCAGGCCCGGTCGCATCTTTGCGTTTTTCCGCTGCTATTCGTGGCGGTTGGAAGGCGTTTTTCATGTACGTAATCCAAACTCCAGGCACCAGGATAATAGAAGCAAACATATTCTGCTGGGAGGTTTCTACATTTGAAGTTAATTTAGGCGTTAATAAACAGTTTCAGAGGAGTGATCATAGCGCTCTGCATCAGCAGTGCTGTGTCTGACTCCCTGCCAGCTCCCAGATCAGCTTCTCTGATTGGTTGATGTGGCTCATCGAGCAAAAGTTCTATTTTTCCAACTCTAGCAGCTGCTGCTTCTGAAGCGCGTCCCACGCCTCAGATACTCAGAAGCTGGTGAGGCTCTGCTCCTGCTGCTCAAAACGGGCTGCGTTACCTTTTGCTGTGCCTTTGATGCGTGTCAACCATAGACTCTGCATGTAAACCAGCTGCTTCTGCTGCTTAGGGTCTGAACGTAGCATAAAGGTCTCTCAGCTTCTCTACTGGCTCTATTCTATTTTTATCAGCGCTCATCAGGACGCAGTAAAGCCCCCTGAACGAAGAGGAAGAGTAGCACACCTGTTCACTAGCAGGGGGGAGCTTATTGGGTTCAGCCGTCAGGTTGGTCAGATCTTCTAGGATGGTCTGCAGATGGGTGACCTCGCCCAGCATGTTGATCTCATGGTCCTGCCATCACAGAGGAGGAGAAGCTCTCAGTGTGACTCCGAGGTTAGAGGTAGTGAACAGTTGAAGCGAGGACTCACCAGCACGGGCTTCAGCATGCTGACAAAGCTGCAGTAACGAGCCCTCTCCTCCACCAACGCCCTGCGCACGGCTCGCTTCTCCGTCTCCTCCAGGAAGGCGTAGCGAACGTTGACATCCTGCAGGGCGCTGTCCAGCTGGCCGCGAGCTTCTCCCTTGCCTGCAGACAGACAACAGCAAAGCGGGACCTATTTTAGGACGAACCAAAGACCAGAGGATGGAGGAAGCAGGAAGATGAGATCCAACCAAACCTAGAGGAGCTCCATGTTAAGAGGAGCGGATACTGAAACCGATTATTTGGTGTCAGTAATGGATGCTGATTTTTTTGCAGCTAATATTTGAGGATGGTTTTGTTTGTTTTTTTCTTCCTTCGTTTTCAAGAGAAAAACAACGCAATCATAATAAATGCTGCATTAGACCGAATTTAAAGAGAAGAAGCAAACAAGTTTCATCAAATCAAACAAAGTATTAATGGAGGGAGGCAATGCAGGCTGCTGATCAGAGACGGGTTTTCAGTGCCATTCAAACGTCGTCTAAAACACCTAAAACAGATGCTAATGATGCTGCTGCCTCATGTTTCTCACGGCAGACGACGAGGCGCTAACGGTTACTAATGGAACTGACTGCTGTGGATCTCAGGCTGTTATACTATAGCCCCATTTACACTACCTATTTGAAATGTGCAGAGATCGCTCCGAGCGCGGTAACAGAGATAACAGTCGATTGTAAACTGAACTGAACCTACTGATGAACTGGTACTAGTTCATCAGTAGGGCTCGGCCCGGTTCTCAGATAACAAAGAGCGCATGAGCAGAGCGCGTCATCTCCTTACAGTAAGCTTCCATAATCAGGAAATTTCAGACATTCATAAATATACTAGCTCCCCTACAGTGCTGAATAATTTCCAGTGATGATTCTACTTAGCAGTGTGATAAATCTCAACGTCTGTCGTTGTTTCCTGCTTCTCTAAGCCCTTATTAGACTATTTTTTGCAGTATTCACTTCCCAAAAGCCAACTCTGTAAAGTAAATTCACCAGAGGCTGCCTTCTTGGCCTGACTCTCCGCAAACAATGAAATATCACAATGAACTAGGGCTGCAACTAACGATTATTTTAAAAATTGATGAATCGGCTGATTATTTTTTCGATTAATCGATGAATCGGACAAAAAATTTTTTTATATTAACCTCTTTATTCCAAAATAAACATTTTAGACAGAACAAACAAGCACACAAGTACAGGTTGCTCATTAACTGTACTGGTGCAATATGAAAAATAAATGTTTGTGTTAAAACTACGCAAACTTACATGAGAAATGTAGCTGTACATCCACAAAATATAGGGTACTTTGTTTCATAAAGCGCAAAAAAAGACAGGCATTTTTGTTTTTTAAAGCCCCTAAGGGGCTCAAACAATAGGCCCCCCCATTTCAACAAATGAGTTTTTTTAGACTAGAAGAGTTCTGCCTTTTAAGACAGGAAAGTATAGCAGTTGGTGCTACTTGAGAAAATACTGAACCATAGAGATAAAAATAGCCCTGTGATTCAAATTATAAACTGTATTTAGAATAAAAATGAGAGAACTAGGGGTGCTAAAAAACACATCCTCCAAAAACAGATATTTACATGGGAATGTGGCAGATAATTAATTGACATATTACTGATCTTGCTGGATTTTGTTCTGCTTTACTTCTATAAATTGCAGGATCATCTTTACTTTATCTTTGACAGAAGATTAAAACTTTAAAAGCCTTGCCCTCATCATTTGCAAGTTAATTTATTTATAAAGAAAATATAAACACTGCTTAAACAAATTTAAATGAAATTAAAAGTAAAATAAGTAGCCAACCTTATCCCTGTCTGTAACCTACTAACACGGTAAGGAAAGCATCAGATGAGCTACCTGAGAAACTAACGTAACGTTTCCCCACTTTAAAATGAAACAAACATGGTTACTCATCCTGCTGATCAGCTATCTTCACTGCCATTGAAGGCTCCAACGTGTTTTCTTTTCAGGTGCTGCGTCATAACAGTGGTGCTTCCGTGCCATGTTCATTTGTTTTTACAAAAGTTGCATGTTACGACTTTTTTCACTTTACAAAGCGCAGGCTATTTTAATTATTGTGATCAATTTGCGCCGTCAATCCCGGCGCATGCGCGCTTCATTTGCAGTCTGGACGCTGAGGGTAAACTCCTCACTAAAATCCTGCGGCTCTGACTGCAGCGCTTAGAGGGATTCCTGTGGGAGAGGGAGAAAGGCGTTGGGATGGGGGAGGCGCCCCACAGCAGGCAAAAGCCGCCAGTGACACCGTAAAAAGTCGCCAGATTTGTCGCTAGTCGCTTTTTTGAAAAATAGTCGCTGGAGGGGTCTGAAAAGTCGCTGAGTTGGCAACACTGCAACTGCGGCGCTGACTCGCTCCGCCATATTTTTTTTTCTTCCCCCGTTTGACGGCGGCGGCGGATGACGCATTAATCGCGCGACACAACTAATCGATGATTAAATTCGTTGCCAACGCTTTTAAAAGTCAATTTTTATCGATTTTATCGATTCGTTGTTGCAGCCCTACAATGAACCAAACTCTCTGAACGTTACTGGCACCGCCATGTTGATTTGTTTATTGACCTCTAGAGAGCAGTAGTACCGTAGTTCGCCATTAGGAGGTGAGGAACCACGCTAGCATGGTGTGTAAAAGGTTGTGAGGTACCAAACTCGGCAGGGATCGGTTTTCAGAGGGTAACGTAAATGTGGCTACCGTGATTTCTTCTGCCCTTAACCGGCGCTTCCATATATTTAAAGCATTCCCACTGCTGGTTTTGTACTTCACTTCCCAAATCTTCCAGAGGGTTTAATCTGCATCACATTTCGGAAAGAAGGTCCTTCCTTCAAATTGCTCACATGAGCCGTGGTAGTTTTCTTTGCTGTAGCTTCTTTTTATGCGTTCAATCATGTGAAAACTCGACCATCCTTCCACTTCCTGTCCATCACAACAATGCTTTTAGGTACTGCATATTTTATAGGGATAAATTCTCCAGAGTACTGATGGAATTTGGTTGGTACCGATAAAAAGCTAAAATTTGGTTTCCATCCCTACTGCTGAATACAAAAATGAATCGGCAAACACATTAGCCGAGAAAACGCAAAACAAAAACAAGAAAAGCTAATATCGGCCTAAATGAACTGTCAGCCGATGTATCGGTCCATCTCTACTCCATTTCATTAAGTGTAAAGAGTCAGAATTATTCAGAGTAATAAGATTTTAATCAATTAACACCAAAAGATTCCTTTTTTAATTTGAACTAAAATATAAATGCTGTAGAAAACTACTGCATTACTGAGGTGTAGCCAGCAGGGGTCAGCAGAGCACCACCAGCCTGCTGAAATCTAAAACCTCATCTGTTGATTTCACATCATTTTCCATCTCTAAAAATACTTAGTAGACTTGAAATCAGAAGAATATTTATTACTGTTAAAATGGAAAACAACAACGGAATAAAGAGCTCTTCATTGGTGAACTCAACGAACCCGTGTCCTGAAAAATGGAGCTAAAAGTAACGCCCTGAACTCAAGAGAAAAACAGATTTAAGAAAATGTTTGTATGTCAACCTGAGGTAGAGGTGAGAGAGGGGGAGCAGAAATTCAGGGAGAAATGTTGCAGCAGCATAGAGCGATGATATCAACCACAATTAAAGCCTGGCATCAGTTCAGAGGAGGAATAAAATCACCACTTCAATAACAGCTTAAATACGTTATTATAGAAGTTGGTTGATAACTCATTCTTTTAAAAGAAGACAACTCTGTTTCCTGATCACGTGAATCGCTGCTTGCTTCTGTTTGCCGGATAGAAACAGAGCATTTAAACGGAGCCTGGAGCGGTGAGTTGGTGTTGGCCCAGATTTGCTGCGTTCACATCGTCTCCATGTTTCTGCAGCTCTCAGCACAACATATGCTCAGCACAGAATCCTCTATAAATAAATAAGAATTATCCATCTATAATGAGAGAAGATCAGGCTTTTCTTCCTCATCGATGTTTGATCTGCTGCCTGTCATCTTCAGGGGCGGTCCAAGGTTTTACAGGGCCTAAAGCAGAGCTGAGATTTTGGGCCCCTCCTCGCCACCGTTAGCAAGTATTTAAAGGGGTTCGTGGAACCTGAGAGAGAGGGCGGAGCTTCAAGCCACCAGAGCTGATTGGTTGTTATCAGGGACACAGAAGATTTCACTTACAGCATCAGATTGTAACTACGGTAACAAAACAATCTAATGTTTCAAAACATTGTTTGACATTTTTTATATAATGCATTCAAATCCAAATTCAATCATTTTAAATCTTTTATTGTATCAATTCAACACTACTAAGTCCTAGGGAAGTCATATTTGAATGGCCAATCACTCTGGATTAAACATGTATATAAATGTTCTCTTTATCAGACAATATTGTCCCAAAATTTTGAAAATGTCAATTTAAAAATAAATCCTGCTTTATAATCTGTGGGTTTTTTTCGTTACTTCTGCAGGCCAGTTAGTTACACGTCAGACTGAACACCTAAATTCGGCCAATCATATATCAACGGTCATCTGATCTTGTTTTGTACACATTCTCGCGTGATTTGAAAAAGCCGCGATGATGAATTTAATCTATACTATAATACACGCTGGATTAAAAATGATCAGTCAGGGATTAGGAAAATAATAATAATAACTGTATGCGCATAGTGTAAATATTTCTATCATATGGCAGTCTTCTATACAGTGATGCAGGTCATACATTAAAAAAATTTCATTAAATGTTTTTCTCTTAGACATTGGAGTGGTGCATTTAAATGTTATAGAGCTAAATGTGTTAAATTGGTGAGTAGTAGTAGTGTAAGTTTTTAACCTGTCAAGTTTTTTTTAGATTTTTAACATTAGAATCTATCTTTTTCCAAGCACACAACAGTTTAAAGCAAAGTTTAGTTTGAAAAGAATGTGCAGGAAGGATTGAAAAGCATGTTAACATGGTAATGTAGGCTTGAGTTCATTATCTGACGCATGCAGATACACACCAGGAACCTGGAAACTTACTGAATTACAAAAAACATTAAAAAACAAACATCAATTCATATGTTTGTTTTTTAAATGTTTTGTTTAAAAAACAAACATATATGTTTCATTGATATATATGTACAAAAATATGTACAAAAATGAATATTAGGAACTATATTTATCAAACATTATACTGGGCAAGTAAAAATTGTTTCTGGGCAAATGAAACGTGAAATTCACTTGCCCTTTGGGCAAGTGATAAAAAGTCAACTTCTTATATATATATAGAAATAAAAACATGGCTAAATCCTTCATCATCTTCACCGTTGACAGGATGCAGCCATCTCAAATTCCTCGTTTTCCAGCCACTTATTGAAATTTGCATTTTCCCATTCTCTAGCTTTTTCTCTGCCTCAAGCATCTTTACCAAACATACAGCTTTACAATCAACCGGAAGCAGTTCCACGCATGCTGAACCAGTTATATCTCATAATATATCTGATCAAATTGTTTGTAAATGCCACAATAATCACATTTAACTAATTAAGGCCTTGATTTAAAAAATAATAATTTATCAGGGTTCCTGCAGCATAAGGCAAGTTAAATTCAAGACTTTTTAATGTCACTTGAAATAAAGATTTAAGACCAAAATCACAAGAAACACAAGAAAAACCTGCTTGCAACAACTTAACCCAAAGGTTTATTTTAACATAAACCACTGTACTAATGTTTCAAATGTTGAAAAGCTTCCCATACAGGAAGAAAGCTAAAAACACACAAATGACAGATATATTTGAACAATTATTTAACTCAATTCACAAACTTTGTTTTAGCAGGGAACAAAACAAATCAGATTTAAAGCCACAACATAACCAGTGCTAAGTCTTTTTGCAGATATTTTTCTTTGTATGGTTTTCTTAGTATGTTTGATTTGGTGATAAGTGGAGGCGTTGCAGAGACAAGGGTGGAACTAATTTTTGACGCTTTGTGTTTCGTGCTTCGCATGTGCGACTCCACTGCCTTAATTCCCATCGTTCCGAGCTTGAATTGCTTCTTGCACTAAATCCACTGAGCCTCATGTATGTTCCCTGGTTTTAGCCATGGAGAAAACTCTTGGCTGGAGACAATTTTGGTTACATTTACACTTGCTCATATTTTCCAGACAAAAAGTTAATGGAGCATCTCCCAAATGTCCCGGCCGCAACAACGCTTTTATTGGTTCCGCTATCGAGACAGAACCAATAATGGCGAGCAGTTATTTTTTTCAAATAAAAGAAAAAAGGTCAATTTTAATGTTTTATTTAGATTCCAAAAATAAATCATAATAAAATAATCCTATTTATGATGTTTTAAAAATTAAGACCTACGAAAGACTGATTTAAGACATTTTAATACCAATTAAGGCCTTAGTTTTATTTGGAAGAATTCAATGCCTTTTAAGACTTTTTAAGGACCCGAGGGAACCCTGATTAATGATTTTTAATGACCTGCGGAAACCCTGATAATATTTTAGCTAAAAAGAAACTCATGTCTTCCTTATGAAATTTCCACCTCTAATCAAGCACACAGACCTCCCATATTCAGGACAAAAGTAGTGTTGGAACAAAGAGAAATTGTTAGCTGCATTCTACCTCAAAACGCAGGAAATGGCGTTTCGGAGAGTCTAAATTTCAACATTTTGGGGGGGGGGGGGGGGGGGGGGGGGGGGGGTTACCCCCGGACCGGTGTATTCCTAGCTAAAAGCTAAAAGCCTGGTTGAGATCATGGTCTTTTTCTGCTAGCAGCTAAAACATGCAGCCATCATCACTCTGAGTCAAACACCATCAGATTATTGAACATATTCAGATCACACAGTGTGTCTGTCAGTCCGTTCCCACCGGTGCAGAGCTTGCTTAACAGCTCCAGAGGGTTGAACTGCAGTGAGAGCAGCTTCATTAACATGAGGAGCATAAAACAAACAAAACAAACACTTCTGTGGAACATTATCATTATCTGAGTCATCTTTCTCTGAGTTCTGCCCAGCGACATTGTGAGGAACGCAGTCGGATCGGAACATCCCGGAAGTAATCCAGGAACAGTCTGGTGATGATCTCTGGGTTGGACCTGTTGTAACAAACGCACGTCTCACAGTTTTCTTTCCTTACAAGGTTTCAGGTTTTTTTTTTTTTTTTATTATGGGATCTGAGCGCAGCCATGGCAACTGCAGGGTGTGTCCTCTGATAGCAGGGCAGGGTGTGGACCAGGTGTTTGTGAAGCACAGTCTTGGTTTCTGTGGCAAAGCTCCAACCAACAAGCCTAACTCTGCTCTGACAGCATAAACAGGATTACCCCGGTGCAGGGGATAACCGCACGCTGAAAACAAACGCACACGACTACGTCTTTGTAACATTTATAAAACTTCTGACAAAGCCGGGTCGAAGGTAGACCACATCAGCACAAACAAAGCCAAAGTCAAGACTAACAAGCATCAGTTTACGGTCCATAATCGTCTCCCCGCAGCCGAGAACGGATCGGTAGTCGTCAGTCAGCTGATCGGCTGCAGCTAACAGCCGTTTCTAACCCCAGAGCACAAGCTTCCTGTCTGCAGAGGCATCAGGAACAGGGACGTGTTGTTCCTGTCTGTTCATCATTCCTGGTAAAAACCTTTAGACCACGACAGAAAAGACTTTATCGTCTGCTGCAGTCTGCAGACATGAAACATGCTTCCAGAAGGATTATTTGCTCTTCCTGACAGCAGACAGAAAACAGACCTGGATCACAGCAATTCACCGTCGGTGATTTTAGTGATGAATGAACAGAACTCACCTTTCTTCACCTTCTTCTGCAGTTTGATGGTGTCTGATGACTTCTTCTTGATATCTGCTCTGGCCTTCTTGTACTCTAAACAGAGACAGAAACCCACAGCTCAGACCAGGTGATCCACTGAAGCAGGATCGTTAAAGCTGATCATCATTTGAACATCAGTGTAACGGATTCCCTGATATGAGCTGCCAATTTTCCAGCTTGATTTGCTTTGTATTCATCATTTTACATGATGAAAACAACACAATGATAACAATTGTTTAACAAATAAACGAAACAATAAAAGAGACATTTATGAACAAATGAAGCTAACATTTACAGTGAATGAAGGGAGTTAGCTGTTCTGTAGGCTGCTGAATGCACTAATGAATCAGGGACCCCTTTTTCATCATTCTCTCTCTATTCTTCCACTCTGCAGAATCTGTAAGTTCAATCTCTAACGTTCTGCTCTCTCTGCTTTTTCTCATAGTAGCTTCATCTGGTCTGTTCCTGTTTGGCTGTGACTCCATCCTGGAGAGAAATATCAGCTGTGCTGCTGCCATGAACACCTTTGTTTCTAGATGTTGGAGCTTGGCCTGTTTTCCAGTGTAGTCCTGTTTCTCTGACTGTGACTAACTGGATGTGCTCTCTTCATCCTCTGACATGGGAGCTCGTCTGCCTGGCTGTGTGTTTCCTGGACGGGGCCGCCTGTGGAGCTGGTTGACAGTTGCCTTTTGTATCTATGCTTCTTTTTCTATGTCTGCTTCTGTCTCCTTGAACCCCAGTTGGCCTCAGCAGATGGCCGCTCACACTGAGCCTGGTTCTGCTGGAGGTTTCTTCCTGTTCAAAGGGAGTTTTTCCTCTCCACTGTCGCTACAAGCATGCTTAGTGTGAGGGATTGCTGAAGAGTCAATGAGTCGATGGTTTTCCTTAGATAGAAAACTTTGAATCAATCTGACTGGATGATCTGGTTGAACTGAAAAGTGACCTGAGATGAAATGATGTGAATTGGAGCTATTGAAATAAACTGAATTGAACAATTTGATGGTTGAAAAGTAAAGGCCAGCTGATGCAACTCTGTGGGAAAAGCTCGGGTGTCTGAGCCGCCGGCCTACCTTTGGCGTGGTCCTTGTCCAGCTGTCCCGCCCCCTTCTTCCAATCCTCCAATTTTAACTCCAGAGGTGAGATGAGACTTTCTGAGAGCGCTCTGAAAAACAACGTTCAATCAGAATCGCCTTTCAGCCGCATCAGGTTCAACTTAAATAATAAATCCAAGATGTGATATATATCCCAACTTCATTTGGTGAAAAGAGACTCGAAGCGAAAGTTTTTTAAAACATCACATTTTTTTAAGTTTAAGTTTGTTAGAGAGGATATAATAATCTGTACAACGATAGGCAAAAATAAAAATAGCTGTAGATTATTTAAAATCAGCCGCTTTACTCAGACCAGAAGGTCAAATCAGATTGGAGGAGCCTCTGCCTGAACCACCATCATGGTAATAAGTAGGCGGGAGTATTTACATGAGTGTTGCGATACGATACGTTTAACGATAACTTGGTCACAATACGATATTATCGCTATATTTCAGTATCACTATATACTGTGATATTTGACCAATCAAAATGAAATGTAGAGATTAAAAAAGCAAGTACTGTATATGTTTGCTAGACTCCATCTTGTTTAGGTGGTTTGAGAGGGGCGGGGAGGAAGCCATCTATGTTAAGAAAGAAAAAACAACCTTAATCAGAGGGGATGGCTTTCTAAAAAATACAATGCAGCAATTGAGTGAATCAATTCTATCATTGCAGACCCAGCCTCTGTACAGGAGAGCAGAGGACCTCGCCTATTCAGCCAGGCCAACAATTCCCTTTAATTCCCTCTATCAAAACTAGACTTAAGTCCCTTTGTTTGAAATTAACTCAGGATAAATTGACGTTTCAATTCCTGATTATCAAAACTCAAAACTCAGTTTGTTCTGCAGTGTTTGAAATACAATCTAATAAATAAGGCTGGATTTCTTATCAAGCTTAAAGTGCCACTGTGTTATCTAAAATAACAAAATAAATAATCCAGTAAATATTATAATGATCAATATATCCGCAGGTGAGGTGACATGTTGGTTGTGTTGTTGTTAGCATAAACAAAACGTGTTGCACAAGGCTTGCACACTGTTGCACTTTTATCCACAACTTTCTTTACGGCGTCATCGTAGGTCACTCTAAATCCAAAGTGCTCCCATACAGCAGACCTATAAAGTGCTGCTGGCGCGTCTTCCAACTCCTGTTCTTTCCCACTCGCCATACCCACACAATTCTCCACAACAACTGATTTTTTCCCCTGCTACACCCGGCTACGCTGCTTCGCTTCTTCTTCTTCTTCTTGTTTACTACTGGTGGTTGGCTTTGGTCGCAGTACCGCCACCTTCTGCTCTGGAGTGTAAACACTTCGCCTATGAGAAAAAGGAGCAGCGCATGAACCGAATGCAACACACGCGAACCGAACCGAGACAGTCGAACCGAACGGTTTGGACGGTTTTCATAAACCGTTCCATCCCTAATAGACAGGTATGGAGCATTGCGGGCTAACAAAAGATGCCACGGGACCCCCATTCCAAAGGAAGGGAGGCCCGTTCATCTGTTTCTATTTGCATGTTTTTAAAACAAAAACCAGGCTTTGTTGGGCTATGGATAAAACCTGGAACTCAACGCTATTTCTGACATTTTTAATTGAAAAAGCTTCCTGAATGGGAAGAGAAACGTCTTCAAACTTGGAAGCAAAGTTCAGTGGATTGTTTTTAATTTTCTTTTATTGGAATGACTATGACCTGGATGACTCAGAATCTTCACCAGCATATTGTTTGGGGTTTAAGTCAGTCCACATTTCCCACTGTGATTGCCTTAACTATCGATAAAAAAGGCTCCACAGCGCCATCTACCAAAGGAAGCCCATTTTCCCTCATTGTTTTAGGTAAAAATGTTAGATTAGAAACTGAAAGATCCATATTATATTGGGCAGCGAAAATCACAATATATCACTAAATCTATTTTTTTCCACAGCCCCAGTAATAAGACAACATGACGCCTAATCTGAAACACTGCAGAAAGCTTTTTTTTTTTTATAAAGGCAGGAAGATGTTCGTTAAAACGGTTCAACAGAGAAGAGCTGAGTCAGCCAGGAAAAATGAAACATCACCAGAAGGAAATGAGAGATCTGAGCGTTTCAGGACTGAGCAGCGCCTCATATGTCAACCGATGAGCTAAAAGACGGCGGGCAGGAATAACAAGAGCTACGGTGAAAAGGGGGGGAGAGTTTAAACTTTAAACTTACAATCAAATCATGTAAAGATTGATCCAACATTTTGTTTAATATTTGCCAATTTGCTTCGTATTGAACATTGCACCCACTAAACCCAGCGGTGAAAAGCAGGAATCAGTTTAACAGATAAAAGCCTGACTGAGTAAACAAACGGGATTCAGAATCTGTCGTCTCCGTGGTGACGGGAAAGCGAGTGACGCTGCGAGGGCTGCAGCGGTTCACAGGAGCGTACGTCAGCAGAGGCTAATTAGCTGTCTGGTTCCCACACTGTCAGAGGAAATGTGTCATCGCTCCATCCTGCACACCTCCACCTGCCTGTCCTCCTCAGCAGCTGCTACTCCGTCTGCCTGTGTGTTTCCTCTGTTTTGGCATCAGAGTGAGGACCATTTTAATGATTTCACCGTCGGATGGTTTGCTGCTCCTCACATCCTCTAAGTTAACATCTAGGTTTTTGACTAAGGTGTTTGTTGACATAATTACATTTAATAAAACATAGTTTAATCATTAAACGACAAATAAAAGAAGAAGCAGGGAAGAAAAACTTATCAGACCTTCCCCTGTCTGTACAAATGCATCAATTGGGTAGATAGAAGAAAAGGGAATAAACATAAAATCATAAATAAATCTTCAATTCCTTTCATCTTCCACGGGACAGAAACTCAATTTTTAAACATTTTCTTTAACAGAAAAATAACTGTGCAGCTCTTCAGGGTCACATTTGGAGTTTTCCATAGTTTAATACCTGCAACGGAAACATTTGTTCTAACGTTAACCCAAAGACATAGATTGACCCCGCGTCATCGGGTCAGAGCCGCCATCTTAGGTCAGACCAGGCTGCTGTCAGAGGCGATACACTCCGAATCCGGTGAACTCTTAATTGATTTTCAGCTAAACTGTGACTGAAAACGAGAATCTTTCACGGCTACATGGGAGCAAATGGATTGATCTGATTTTCTGTTTTAATACATCATTTCGGTTTGTACTGATAACTAGCAAACTTCCAGAGCTTCCCCTTAGGATGCCCGGCTTCTATTCCACCTATGGGTGCGCAAATAACGGGAGACTACAAACCAGATCCAGTGGGATTACCTTTCATTAGAAGGATTTTATGATGGATTATCCTCATCAAAACAATTTTCTATCCTCAAACATTGTTTGAAAAAGAGTTTTGGAAGAAGTTTAGAGAAAATTATAAGGACTAAAACCCTTTAGTTGGACAAAGAATACATTAGCCACTAACTTTCATATGAAAAATATAAAAAATAAATAAAAATTAACATAAAATTGATAAAAACACAGAAAAACAACTATACTCTCTTTCATAAATAATATTACAACTAAGTTTCCTCTATAGATCGTAATACTATTATCACAGAAAAATCTTTAAAAATACTAAATAATAATATATTATAATCATATATAATATGTATATAATATATTGATATATCATTTTGTGCTTATAACATTAATATTTAATTGCAAAATATATAACTATGTATATATTTCCCCCAGTTAGAGTTCAGTTTAAAATATTTTTAATCTGAATAAATGTGTGTAATCTAACTGAAAGGTAATTATAAAATATTTGTTTGCCCTTTCAAGGGTTTCTGAAATGTAAAAAGGTTATTGTGATATTATCTTTGATCATCTTCCATGTGAGGAGTCTTCTGACAGCAGCAGTCTGAACTTTGGTCTGACCCAAGATGGCCGCCCTACGGGCACCTCGGCCTAGCTGCCCGCAGCGTCCAATGAGGCGTCTACGTATTAACATCTGTGATATTAACCGACCGAGCCTGGGTTTGCGGTAGATGGTCGCTCACACTGAGCCTGGTTCTGCTGGAGGTTTCTTCCTGCTAAAAGGGAGTTTTTCCTCTCCACTGTCGCTACAAGCATGCTTAGTGTGAGGGATTGCTGAAGAGTCAATGAGTCGATGCAATCAACTGGTTTTCCTTAGATAGAAAACTTTGAATCAATCTGACTGGATGATCTGGTGAACTGGAAAGTGTCTTGAGATGACGTGTGTTGTGAAATAGCACTATATAAATAAACTGAATTGAATTAAACTAACATCCAACCAGCAGACCCCATGGACTGTGGGAGGAAGACAGAGTACCCGGAGAGAACCCACACATGCACAGGGAGAACGTGCAAACTCCATGCAGAAAGACAGCTGTAACCTTCTTGCTGCAAGGCCGCAGTGTTACACACTCCCCTACTGAACAGCCAACATTCCTGGTAAATCTGTATTTTTTGCTTTAAGCATTATTCTGAAAGTCTGAGCTCAAATAGATTCGTAATTTTCAATGAAGCAGAAAAACCTGTGTTTATGAACAGCATGCAGGGGTAATGGTTCAGCGTTTGGCAACAACCCAGAGACTAAACCGAATGTGAAGTCCTAATAAGGAAAGCAAAAGTGTTTCAGTGTCTTACGTGGTGAACAGTTTAAGCTTGGATTCGATGCTGCGGTGTCTCATACACATCCTGGTCAGCGCAGAGCCGATCTCCTTGGTGGCACCTGGAACAACCAGCAGAGCTTCATGTTAGAAATCAGACAGAAATCATCCGAGACAGATTCAAGCATCGGAACGTCAACAAAACATCATGTAATTATTCAGAACAGATCTTATTCCAGTTTGTATGTTTTTAATAAATCAATGTTGCATGTTACTCAGCCTGAGGGAAGCTGGGCCTGTTGCCTCATACAGGAGACCAACTAAAACACAGATTAAGTTTTAAGGCTGTAATCTGATGGAACTATGCATGCAGCTTCATGTGTCTCATTATGGTGGTAAATTATGTAAGAATGCCGCTTTCTTTCAAAACTAGAGGCTTACAGTTACGGTATCATGTTTCAGCCACATCAGCAGAGCAGCCATGACACCAGATCACTGTACTTCATGTGACAAAGACTTAGAAAACATGAGAGGTTCCCTCCCTGACATGCAGAGCAACACAAACACCTATAATTCACGGGATTATTCGCCGTACTTCTGTTATTCTAAAAGAAAAACTCCAGTTATAATAAAAATAACAATGCTGCAGAAAATCCAGTTTCATCTGATTATGATCCCAAAGGTCACAGATAGAACTTCTTTTTTTTTTATAACTCTTACACAGAATGTCTAGAATGGGTTAGTAAGTAAAAGTATTATTTTCACAAAAATAAAAAATATAGTATATAAATAATTACTTTAAAAATGTTGAGTCCAAAATACATAAATATTTAAATGCCACATCGACAAAAAATGATTCTGCACCAATAGGAAGAGCAGGTTGAAGATCTGATCCTTGTAGCTTCATGGAAAATCAAAAATGTCTTCTCCGCATTTTTTTGTCTCTGGTTCAAGAAAAAAACAAAAAAAAACAAGCAAGAAGCCAAACGACGGCGAACATCCGCCAAGCTTTAGAGTCGGTGCAGATTGAGGGAACTTTATTCTTGTAATATTACGACTTTATTCTCTTCATTTTACGACTCTATTCTCGTAATATTACGACTATTCTTGTTGCGACATTATTCTTGTAATATTACGACTTTATTCTCTTAATTTTTACGACTCTATTCTCGTAATATTACAACTATTCTTGTTGCGACTTTATTCTTGTAATATTACGACTTTATTCTCTTAATTTTACGACTATTCTCGTAATATCACGACTATTCTTGTTGCGACTTTATTCTTGTAATATTACGACTTTATTCTCTTCATTTTACGACTCTATTCTCGTAATATTACGACTATTCTACATCTCAAGTCTCCGCTAAGTGCGGAGCGCATTCCCCCCGTCCTGCTCTCCCTCCGCTGGCTGGCGTCGGGGCTCACCGGTGCACTGGTGGAGCTGGGGGTGGATGCCCGGGGGACTGCTGGCTCATTCCTGGCGGCCTCTCCACTGGCCCCGGCCGGCCGGGCCTTTGCTGGGGCTCCTGTCTGGGGATCGGGTGCCCTTGGGGCCTCGGATCCCTGGGGCCTGGGACTGGATCCGCTTCGGGGGTGGGGCTGGCTGTTGTTCGGGATTTTCGGGGTCGGTGCCTTCGCTACGATGCTGGTTCCTGGGCGGTATTTCTTTCCTATGCCGGTTCTGTGGTATCGGTTTGCGGGGGGGGGGGGGGGGGGGGGGGCTGCACGGCATGGTGGGGTGCGGGTCTTGGGTCCTGTTCTGGGCTCCGTTTTTTCCGCTCGCACTTCTCCTCTTGCCTATTTATTTTAATTGTAATTATTAATTTATTAATTAATTAATTTATTTACCTATTTATTTATTTATTTATTTATGTTTTTTTTTTTTTCTCTCTTCCTCGGTGGGGGGGGAGCGGTTGCGGGCGGGCCGGTGTCTGGTGTCCGCTGTCGCATAGTGGGGGCTCCTTTTTTTTTTTTTTTTTTTTTTTTTTTGGGGGGGGGGGGTTTGGCATGTCTGTTTTCTCGGGGGGCGGGCGGGCCTGCTGGGTGGGGGTCCTGCTGGCGGCGCGACGCTGGTGTGTGGGGGTCCGGGCGGCTCCGGCGGGGGGTGGTGTTGGGGGGCCGGCTGGGCGGGCTGGCTGCGCTGGCTGGGTATTCGGGTGGGTTTTAACTCCTGGAGGCATGGCCGGGCTGCTCTGTTCCCGCTGATCGCGGCGGGTGGGGCTGCAGGGCGGGTGGGGGCTTGGAGTGGCTATGGCCGGCGCGTGTTGGGGGGCCGGGGCGGCGGAGCTGCTCTGGCCGCGTGTCAGGGCCTGGTGCGGGGGGCGGCAGACGTGGCTTTGCTGCTTTGGCTTCGTCCGGTGGGGGGGCGGCGCGGTTCGCTCCGCTCTGGCTTTGTGCTGCCCCTCGGGCTGCTGGGGGGGGTGGTTTCGCCGGCTGCGGTCTGCTCTTCTTGCGGTTTTGCGCCGGGCGGCTTTTCTGCTCTCGGGCTGATTCTGTGCACGGTGTGTTTCGTTGCGCGCTGTTGGCATCGGTCTTGGTGGGGTGGGGCTGCGCTTTTGGCCGGGGGGGCGTTTTGGGGGGGTCCCGCGGCACTCGCGGCCGGTTCGCGGTGGATGCGCGTGGACCCCGGCCGGGGGCGGGGCCGCCTGAGTGTTTTTCCTGGGTGGTGCGGTCGCGGTGGGTGTTGCGGCCGGTCGCCGGGACTTGGTGCCGGGGGGCGGGGCGTGTTTCGGTGCTCTGTGGGGCTGGGGCGTTTCGGTCGGCGCCGTGGGGGGGCTGGTGTTCGGTGCCCGGCCCTACTTCGGGGTGGCCGGCTGCCGGCGGGGCCCGCGGACTCGTCCCCGCGGCTCCCCGGGGCGCCGGCATGGCGGTGGCTGGGGGGCTTCTTCGTGGCTGTCTCTCCTCCTGCCTTGGTGGGGTCTGGTTTCCGGGGCTGGCCCCGCCTTGGTGCCTTCGCTTCTGGGGTCCCCTTGGGCGCCTGGGGCTGTGTGTCTCCCGGCGCTGGACTCAGTGCTCTGGGGGGGGCGCCTCTCCGGCTCTCCACAACCACTATTGAGCATTTTTTCTATGGTTAAAACTTTACATGCACAAGTTCACCCTCACAAACAACTACAGGTGCTAGGCTTCAGGTACTTAGAGATTCACTTCCAAACAGAAACCCCACATTCATATCTTCAGGTAACACAGAGTACATGTCAGACTTAATAATATTACTTTAGCGATAGTTTCAAGGTGTTTGCTTTATTGTATATCTCGTACCATGTCTTTTGCTTGTGCTGTTCTTTTTTTTTTCATCTCATTGCAGGTGATGAAGCAGACTGAAAATGTTTTGTCATTGTCTCCTTCCTATCTCCTCTTTCTTTCATCTTTTGTCCTTTTTTTTCTTTTTCTTTTTCCTTCTTCTTCTTCTGTTTTTCTGCTCTACTTACATTGCAGTGTCCATATGAACTGTAAAACTCCCTGCATATTTATAATAAAGCAATTTATATACATGAAACAAGTGGAGCAGTATGGCAATTGCGATACCGCTACACTTGTGAAAGTAAAATCTGTTGGGCTCCTTTTGGCATCAAGACAATTATTCTTATTGCCACCTTGCCAGACAGGACACTGTAAAAAAAATATAAAATAAATAAAAAAATAAAAAATATTACGACTATTCTTGTTGCGACTTTTTTCTTGTAATATTACGACTTTATTCTCTTAATTTTCTGACTTTATTCTTGTAATATTAAGACTTTATTATCATAATTTTACAACTCTATTCTCATAATTTTACAACTCTATTCTCATAATTTTACGACTATTCTTGTTTCAACTTTATTCTTGTAATATTACGACTTTATTCTCTTAGTTTTATGACTATATTCTCTTAATATTACAACTATTCTTGTTGTGACTTTATTCTCGTAATCTTACGACTTTTCACTTTATGTGAATTTACGAGAATAAAGTCATAATATTAAGAGAATAAAGTCATAGTATTACTACTTTATTCTCTTAATTTTATGACTTTATTCTCGTAATATTAAGACTTTATTCTCGGAATTTTACGACTTTATTCCCGTAAATTTACAACTTTATTCTCTTAATTTTACGTCTATTCTTGTTGTGACTTTATTCTCATAATTTTATGACTTTATTCTCGTAATATTACAACTTTATTCTCAAAATAAAATTTAAAAAATCTAATACTCCGTCGTAATGATATGTTATAACATGAAGTGAAAAAACCCAGGGAGGGTTTCATGAATCACGGAATTTTTTTAATTCTCGCTGCTTAACTGAAGATAAAAACAATCAAACACAAAACATACAGCAACTGCCCCGAAAAAGACCTTTTAAAAGAGCTTTAACACATTTAATAAACAATGATTATAATGACTTAAAAACACAATTAGGCCTAAAATTAGTCAGATTTCTGGAATGTTTAGACCAGAAGGATTGTTTGGAAAGAGGAAGATAAAAACAGGGTGAGCGGAGGGTCATCAGTCCTGTTTTCAGCACTTTATTTAAAAGTTAAATAAACTCAGATATTATTTCCACCCTTCTCCATAAATCAGTGGAAATATCTTTATCTGCTCCCAGCAGCCAAAGCCTCCCTATAACAGCTGAGCTGCTTGTTCCAGGTTTTCTCTGGTATGCTGATGATGAGCTCAACTCTGAAGATGGAAGGCCTCCTGGCCATCACCCTAATCCTCGCCTCCTTCCATGGACTCAGGTTAGATTTAAGCCTGGTCTCTGTCTGGCAGCATCATTTCCAGTCAGAAGAAACATGTTGGTCCAATTAAAGGGCTAGTTCAAACCTGCCAAAACTGTTTGGTTTAATCCACATCGCTGAGCTGAATGTGCTGAAACTAAGAGCAGATGTTGGGTCGTATCTAAATCCCAGCTTGGCAGGAATCAAACAGGAAGTCTTTAACCTTTAAGCTTCCATATTAGAAACCAAGAACCTGAACAACGGAGCAGAACATTTGCCTATCCAGCAGAGTACTAAGCAACAGGAAGTAACCTCTTTTCTATCCCTGCAAACTCTAATACCTTCTATTTGATCTATTTCTATAGATCTTGTGGCTTTTTGACCAAGTTTTTCTTCCTTTGATTCTTATTACTTTTCTTT